TCTGGAGTCTTGGGGCTGTGGAAACTTGTTCAGGGTCACACGGTTCCTAAGAGGCACGTTCCTCCTTTGGAACTGGATTTTCTAACTTCAACGTCAAGGCTCCCTCCAGCAGCACTCAAGCAGCATTGGCCCACGCGCTCCATAGAAGCCTGCCACACTCCCTCCCTTCAGAAAGAGGCCCCTGTTGGAAACAGCTTCGTAAACCCTGGCATCCATCGGTGACTCGTGCTGGTTGGCATTATCTATTGGGCAGATGGGCTCGTGGAGGCTCAGAGAGGTTAACTGGCTGGGCCAGAGTTACCCAGTGACGGCAGGACTCAGAGCAAACGTGTCCATCTGCTCTGGAGGATCCTGAAGAACATCTCACAGGGTCCACGTCTGACCTGCTTCTGCCTCTGCTCGGCTTATGTGACCCAGCTCCATGATTTTTGCAGGAGCAGCTTACTTCTGGGAGGCAGGGGTGAGGCTGGCATGTGAGCGGCTGAGAAGGGACCTCATGGGGGTCATCATGATCCCAACAGCCGGCAGCTGTGGGCAGGTATCCATCAGGAGGCCTTCAAGACCATGGTTTTCTGTGCAGGGAAGGGATGGAAATGACCATCCAGCCCAAAGTCGGGCCAAAGGTAAAAATCTTCCAATATTTTCATTTTCTTAAAGAACAACACAAGCCCATCTGACCACTCAGCTTTGCTTATTCTAAATAAAGTAAGCAAGCAGCTGCTTTTAGTGTCATCTAAAAAAATAAAATAAAATAAAAACTGGAACAAAAGTGACTTGATAAAGCCAAAGTCACTAAAAGATCCCCAAAGGAAAGTGAGCGATGACATCACATCCACATCAGTGGGGTGACATACTAGGTAATCCCTTGAGCCCTGGAAGTAAACATGGGCTGTGTGATCTTGGGCAAGTCACTTGAACTCTCTGGGCCTCAGTGTCCTCCACTGTAGACATTGGGCCCTCTTCATGGAATGACGGTGACAAACACATGACACACTGTATCCTCCAGAGGAAAACGTGAGTGACATCACCAGCCACCCAAAACCCTTTGTTCACGCATGTCATGTCCTGTTCACGTCACAGGCTCTCCTCCTGCTGGGGCCCCTACCACCTGCCACTCTGTTGTTCAATGACTGTTTTATGAACGAACGAAGAAAGAAATGAATTGACAAATCTGAAAAGCACAATTCAGGTTTATTACTAAAAATCTTTTATTTAAAATTAAATTTAAAAAAGCCAATTTTCTTACACAGACTACGTGAGTGGGTCACAGAAGCTCATTCTCCAGACTCTGGTAATAGCCAGAAACCTAAAAGCATGGGACAGACTCGGGATCAGGGGTGGCCTGCAGCATCCCCCACCTTGCTCTTGCTGCGTTGGCATACGCTTTGCCCCCCACTAGGTTTCGATTCCTGCAAAAGCTTCCCCATGTGCACTTCACCAGGTTCCCCAGCTGCCGTGGATGGGCAGCAGGGTGCCAGCTGCCAAGACCCCAGGCCAGCCCAAGGGTCATGGTCCTTGCGTCTCTACTCTGTCTCACACAAGGGGAAACTGAGGCCGTGGGGCAGCGGTAGCTCAGGGTGCTCCCCAATGCACACAGAACCCTTCCGACCCCAGCCCTGCTTCTCAGAGGACCCAGGGAGCTACCAGAAGCCCCGGAATGGCTCAGAAAGGAGGGACCTTACAGGTGACCCCGTAGAATGCAGAATTCACATGAACTCAGTAAAGATTGACTGATCTTCAGGCAGGCACTTTATTTTTAAGCTAAAATATAAGAATTCATCAATTTCCTGTTTGGTCCCGGCTGCTCCAGGGTGGCCCCTGCGGTGCCCTGGGGCTTGTGCCCCCCTGTGCGTGGGGGATGGGCCTGGACCAGCTCTCTGCTCGGGGACACTGCACCCTGGAACAGCCACTCTTCCTCCTTCTGGATTGTTCCTGCTGCTCGGCCTCCACTTCTCCACCATGGCAGTAAGGTGGGGCCTTCCCGGGTGCCCCCAGCCACATGGAGGAGCATGGTGGGGTCACACCCAGTGACCCTGAGGACAAGACCAGCCTGCACTTCCCTTCTGCCTGGTGGCTACCTAAAGGCTCAACCCAAAGGCTCCCCCTTAACCCCTATGATCCTGGAGCCCTCTAGAGACCCTGACCCAGAGCCAGGTCACCATGGTCACCCCCTCCCCGTGCATCACTGAGCTCCTAGCAAGGACAATTCCTAGGGAAGTCTAGGAAACAAACGGAGCCAAGCCAGCCCTTCTGTCCAGGCAGAGGAGAAAATAGAAAATGCCAGAAGAGGAAGCAGATGAAGGAACCCGGTGGGGCCAGAGGAAGTATCTGGAGACGGCTTTTCTTGGCTAATTGCTTTGAGTCTATGCAGAGTTCAAAGTGGCTGGACGGACGGCCAAGCTGAGAGGGCACCAGTGATCATCCAGTTCACCCTTGCATATGGGCCACCACAGCCTCGAGAGGGGACAGGACTCACTCGAAGCTGCATACTGTGAACAGGGCAGGACTGGGATGCAGTGACCCGTGCTCTGGTGTATGCATTAGGGCTGGATTTCCAGGTGCCTGGGGACCACAGTCTTCTCTCTCTCTCTCCACCCCACTGCTCACCCTGCTCTGTGTCACTGATGGAAAAGCAGCATTTCAGGGGGCATTCTAGAACTCTAAATCCAGTTGGAAAAAAAACCCCTGACCCAACAATGTGCCAGAACCCAGTGCTGGAAGTCTGCTGGATCTCAACTTGCAATTCTGTTGAGGAGCATCCACTGTCCCCAAACTGTAGGTCCAGGGCTGCAGGGCTGAGGATGGGATCCAGCCTCTGCCTGTTCCAAGTGTGTCGGCCAGTTTTCCATCACTGTAACGGAATACCTGAGACAGTCAACTTAGAAGGAGGAAAGTTTTATTTGGGCTCATAGTTTCACAGATTTCAGTCCCTGGTCACTTGGCATCACTTCGGGCCTGCAGTGAGGCTGAACATCGTATTAAAGGACACCCAACCGGGCAAAGCTGCTCCCTGCATGGCAGAGGAGAATGGCTTCAGAATACCCTCTTCATGGGCACACCCACAACGACCTAACATTCTTACATTAGGCATTATTCTTACATGTTCCATGACCTCCAATAGCATCATCTTCTGGGACCAAGTCTTTGACCCACAAATCTTTGGGAGACATTTAAGACATTTAAGCACATAACGAAACATGTGCTTTGCTGTCGGGGGATCAAGATACAGTTAAAGCACACAGAGGTATTTCACGATCAGGCAGCCTGGAGCAGGACTGTGCTGATAGAGAATTGAGGAGGCTACCTTCACCAGGAGGAAGATTGGTCTGGACACTCACTTAAAGCCCTTTCTCCTGGCCCAGTATTATAACAAACATCCATCCCTACTCCTGGGATTTGATGGCAATGAACAGAAAGAACAAAGGAAGAGAAGAAAAAAAAAATCCCTGGGTTTTCAATCTAGGTGTGCTCGTCCAAAACTGGGTGACCTTGGACCAGTCTCTTCACCTCTCTGGGCCTCCTTTATCTTGTTTGTTAAGTGAAAGTTTGGTTGAGATGACATCTCAGATCCTTATTGTCCCCAAACTCTGCCTCACATGAATTTGAGAAAGTCCTGCCCCACCTAGCTCCGTACTTTCTCCTCTAGTGTGTCTTTTAGGGACACTCCCCACTTCTTACTGTCTCTCACTACTTCACCCAGGGAACATGAGGTGCCTGATGACACCAAGCTAACCAAATGAGACCAATTTTATCTGTGGGGCAAAAACACACACACACACACACACACACACACAACCTTTTACTGCATCTCAAGAGCTTTAGCCCAAAATATGTTTAAGTTTTCCTTAAGAAGAAGTACTATGTATCCCCTTTATGCATTTTGTGCTTTCCATTCAACAAAAAAATTATCTTAAAAGAATAATCCAAAATATAGAAGAGAGCATATAAGAAGATGTAAAATATAGAACAGTGCTGTTCCTAACAGAGAAACTGGAGGTAAAATAACTTCAAAAAGGGGGAAAGAATTTGGCCAACTGCTGCTCACGGTGGGTGATGTTTGTTATACAGTCATTATAAACGATGGTTATAAATACTATGTACTATTTAAAGATCCATATGCAATAATTAATTGAGGAAATAATATTCCATATGTACAAGCCTATTACAACTAGGTTAACAAAAAGCCATATCATGTAAAACATAAAATATAAATAAAGTCTGGGGAATTGTAGCAATGTCACTTTCCTAGTTTTAATAGTGTTCAATAATGAGGTGACAGGTCCCTATTAGGGGGGAAATGGATGAAGGGTATAGGGGATTATCTCATTTTTGTTTCTGCAATTTCCTGTCAATTTATAATTACTCTTTTAAAGCATTTTTAAAGTCCCTTGAAAACTTAAATGGGCTATATTATTATGCATTAGAAATATGAGTCAAGGGTAATGCTAGAAAAAACATACAGTAATTTCCCCTTTTCCCTGAAGGATGCTTTCTAAGACCCAAGTGAATGCCTAAAACCATGGATAGTACCAAACCCACATATACTCTCTTTTTTCTACACATGCATATCTATGATAAATTAGGCACAGTAAAATGATTAATGACAATAACTAATAATAAAATAGAATAATTATAATAATATTATAGAGTAAAAGCTATTTAAAATTTACATTTTTTTTCTTTTTACTGTTTTCAAACCATGATTGATAGCAGGTAACTGACATTAAAAAGTAAAACCACAGATAAGGGGGGGAACGTGTACTTTGGGTGGAGGACCAGAAGCATGTTCTTGCGACTAAGTTCAAAACAAAAATAGGCTTTCCCTAACAAAGAATAAAACCAAGGCTGATAGCACCAAACAGGATGTGTGAGTAATTTAACTGATTCCCATAACAAAACTCACCACCCTTTAAAGGAAGACAAGAAAATCCATGCTGCCTACAAAGTCTAGCACACAATCAAAAATTACTAGATATGTAAAGAGACAGAACCTTCATCGTCAAGAGGACAAGCGGTAAGCAGTCCCCAAAGGAAACTGTTAAAGAGTGAAGAAGGCATTAGTTGTATATTTTAAAAGGACCAATCAGGTTTTCAGTGCTCTAAGGACCACTCAGATAGGATGCACCCAGCAAGAGACGTCCAATCTTCTAATGACTCTACAGGAAATGATAGGGATCTCAGCTACAGTTTTCAGTGAGTTATGCTAAAATTACAAAATGCAGAACGGAAAAACCCCCTGGAGAGCTTTCTACCTACCCTTCTCATTGCATGTGAGAGAAGTAAGACGCACAAAAGGTAAGTGATTTTTTTTTTTTTAAGATTCCACAGCCATTTGGAAGGTGCACTGGGGTTAGAAGCCTCATAACTTTCCTATATCACATGGCCTCCCTGTGACTACCTTGTGCTAAAAGAGACTCTCTGAAATGACGCTTAAATATGCATTCTTACAGGGGAAATCCCTAGCCAAGGTATCACTTCGTCTTTCTTCTCCCACAAACAATGGAGAGGTTTCCAGTAAGCCATCAGATAGGAACAGAAGAGTGACAAACGTCACCATAAGCCAGACACTTGATGCCCACTCATGGGAGTGGTTCAAATTCAAGGCTTCTGACATTGGATATCTAGAAATGCGTTGCTTTAAATTCGCATTCCAGTTTGTTTAGTTGTTACCCAGAAGCAACGATGAAGTCATGACCATGGCTTTGATCCATAGTAGTGTCCAGTTAGTATCAACAGAGGAAAAAGAAAATATGTTCCATGCCCTCATTTGAACTTGCAAATGAGGTTTTCAGCAACACACAAAGGCAAGTGGAGGATCTCAGTGGTTGGATCACGTCCGCTTCCTGATCCTGGGAACAACCACAAGGTATCATCAGTGGTTCTGCAAGTCATTCCCCTCCCCAAATACATCCACCAGTGCCCTCTACCCACCCCTGGGCATTCCTTGTCCAGTTTTTCTCAGGAAGAACTTTCCAAGCAGTGGACATGTCGGACAGTGAATGGGGTCTCTCCTGTAGAAGGAAGCTCCTTCCTAGTCCCTAGAGCTGGTTTGAGCCTGGGCTATACATCAAAGGGTTCAGTCCAGCTGGGTTTTGCACCCCTTCTTTGGGGGGTCTACTGCTGGCTGGGACTTGGTGATGGTTCTCAGTGTGGATTGCCAAGGGGATTGGAGAAGCCCAGGTGGGGAATTGGTTGTGATGGAATCCTCCTACTGGTCACAGAGGGAAAGAGGCTACTCTTTACTAAGCATCTCCCCACATGCCAGGTAGTTAGCGCGAGTTTTATGGACATCATCTCATTTCATCCTAACCACATTCCTATAGTGAGCATCATCGTAGCCACCGTTTTTACCAACAAGGAAACTGATATCCCAGGGATTAAGTCCCCAAGTCCTGCAGCCTGTCACTCATGTCCAGTAGACATGAATCATTTTGACTTCAAAAGTATGAGGTATGAAGGAGAGACATGCACCTGGGGAAGATTCTGGATCCAGAAACTCATAACTGAGTGTATTGATCATAAATATTTGAATATTGGCGTCAAGGCTGAGAAAACAAAAACATACTCATGAGAAATAGAAGCTCACACTTGCATATTTTTAAAAGCTGCATGTTGTGGTAATATGCAAATGTTTACAGCAAGTGATAAGAAAGAAGAACGGAAGGCTGGGGTGCTTGGGGGTGGTTGTACATGTACACGTCATCGTCACCCAAAGCATGTGAAGTAGTGGTTCTTTACACATAGGTATGAATGTGCATGAACAAACTAGGCCAGTTTATCTCAACAGGTAAGCATTTTATTTATGTCATTGTTCAATGCACAGAAAAATAAAAACCAAAAAATTTTCTGTTTTTATTTACCAGATCATCTCTGAAGATCTTTACGTATTTTGTGACTTGCAATCTTAACTTCCGTGTTTTCAAAACATTTAGTTAGCCAGTTGAGGTGAGCTCTTAAGAACCAATCAGAAAGACACACACATCATGACTCACCCGAGTGAGCAGTAACTAAGTTCTTCCTAATCGGGTTCTCTGAACATCCTTATCTAAGTACTGCATGTGTTGGGGCTGGGAGACCAGACCTGCCCAGTGGGCCCTGGGAGGAGTGACGGAGGCCTGGAGGAACAACCTGGTAGATTTGGAGCCAGAGAACATTCTGCATTTTTGCTCTACTTCTTCTGGAACTTCCAGCACAAAGTGGGACCCAGGGCCACCCGGCTTATTTTTAACAAGGGCATTGCACCCTCCTCCAGTGTGCACAGGCTTTCCAGAACTTACCAGTTCAATTGAAGCTGAAATCAGCCCCAGGGTTAACCCAGGAGGCCTGTAGCACAGCAATGGGAGGGGCCACCTGTCACCGAAGCCATGAGTTCTGTGAAGAGCTGAGCAAGATTTACTCAGCCACTGGAAAAGCACATTCTGGTCTGTCGCAGAATTTCTCCGACTCCTCAGAGCAGGGGCATCTTCACTGCCCTCTACCTCAGCAGAGAAAGGGCTTCATGTGGGTCCCCAGATCCACCACACACACCGTGCATCCCCGGCACCCAGCCCACACTCATCCCACAGGAGACGCTTCACAGAGAGCTGTTGAGTGAACGAAGGCAGCTACCCCCTCCTTCTCACTCTGCCCAACTATTAGATGTCCTGGGATAACTCAACAATCAATTTCTCCTTTTCACCTGCAAAGCCATCCTAGGAAGTATGGGATCTACTCAACACCCACGGGGAGGGACATTCTAGGTGGATTAAACTTCCTTCCACGGATGTTTTCTGGGAACCCATATCGCACACAGGGGTCCCGGGACCAGAGTGACAAGGCCAAGTTGTAGAGAGTGCCCTGGCCAGGTGCTCCTTAGTAACTGACCACAGCCTGTCTCCTACAGGGTCAGAGGTGGCCTGAGAACTCTGTCTCGGCAGAGTCCTGGCAGTCCCTGCTGGCCAGAATTGGCACTCAGGATGAAACCTATTTGCCATCCTGGTGGAGGGTACACGCACAGGCGGGGCTTCTGTACCACTTTCAGCAAACAAGGTATGAACAAAAAGCTCCAAGAGCTCTGAAAACCATACCTGGGAATAAAACAAACACCTGCAAAGGCCACGGAGCCCTTCCTCCCTCCCTCGCCGTGCAGGCCGCCTGTCCTGCTGATGTTCTGAGCAGGATGTTGTTCAGCCCAGGAAAGTGGGAAACCACTCTCATCCCCACAGAACCACAATCAACAGGGAGGCTCCCGTGCAGCTCTGCCTCCTGCCAGTCCTCCCTCTCTTCTGAGCAAGCCTGAGCTCCCTGCCATTCTGGAGTGGAGGCCTGCCTGTGCCCCTTCCTCTCACAGTGTCACGCTGTGCCTACCCCCAGTGCCTACCCTCGCAGTCTTCGTTCTAGAAATAAGCTTGTTTCGGTGACCTGGTAGAGTGGCCTCTTGGCCTTCCTGAAAGCTGCTGGATGGAGTTTGTTTGGAGACTCCCCTTCAGGTAGCTCCAGGAACTCCTTTTAGCCCTTCTTCTCCCCAGTGGAGCTCAGCTTCCCCCAGAGAATGTGCCTGTGCTGGGAACGCAGAGCCTCCGGCGGTGTCTTCAATCTCCGGAGTGTGTATTTCAAGGCTCAGGGGCAATGTGAATAGCCAACAGCTCTTGGGACCTTTGCCAAGAGCATCTTTCCAGGAGATGCTGCCCACAGGCAGAGAGCCAGGAGCAGGGAGTGAGGAGGGCACAGGCCACACCCTCTCTCCACTTGGCCTGCACTGCCACCGCGGGCCCCCCCTGACGTTATTATCTTTGTTATCCTCCAGAGGCATGCATGAAGCCCTTGGTCATTGCAGGCCTGGGGCCAGGCCTGGGGCATGGCTTCTATTCAGGTAGCCAGGACAGTCCTGCTGGGGAAATGGCTGTCCACACCAAGTGCCTAAGTGACAACGCCAACACTCCCAAGACAATGCAGGTTATGGGAAGCATGTTAAAAAATGAAATTGATATCAGTGTTTGAAGCACGTTTAATTGACTCATGTAGTTGGCGGTTTCTCATGTCGCTTTAAGAAGCTCATGTTAAATGTATTGGGCCCAAGCAGCCGGGACTTAACTAGGTAAGATTTTTCAATCTTTTTAAAGGAAAAAAAAAAAAAGTAAATCATTTTATATTTTAAAGATTACTTTGTAAGTGTTGAGCTTTAAGCATCACCTTAAAAATAACATTCTGTCCACTATAGTCAGTGACCTGCATTTTTTGGAGTATTCTGAGAGGCTCAGCTCAGGAATTTGAAGAAACAAATGGAGATTTTTTTTTTTCACGATGTTGTCCACACCTATGTCAATTCACCAACTGATGCAAAATACCAGCTACACACTCCCCTTCTCCCAGGATGGAGACTGGGCCATCTGGATCATGGAACGGATCGATAGCCAGATCCCTCTACTAATGAGAAAATTAGACATTTGCATTGTCTAAAAGAATCATATATCCTTGCCCTGCCTGCCCCCACCCCACTAAAAAAAAAAAAAAAAAGATCAATTTAGCAGTGTTCATATTCTCTGCAAGTGGCATTTAAAAACTTGTCACTTGAGCCTCCTTTCCTAGCACTGATCACTTCCTGCCTTGCCGCTGCCCTCATTTCCACCTGGTGGTGTCCTGCTTTACATTTCTAATTATCACTCACCACACTGGCAACCCACAGTGTTACTTAGCTTTGCACAGATGGGGACTTGTCTGCCTCTCTCACCAACACTCAGTGCAGTGCCTATCACTTAGAAGGTATGCAAAAATGTTCCAGGAACGCTTGAATGAATGATCAGGCAATCCTTGAGGACTCTGCTCTCTCCTCTCGATTTTTAGGCATGAGTTCAATGCCCAGGCACATCAGGGCTCTTCTCAGACACATGCTGTCCTCTGCCAGGCACATAGTTTCTCCCATAAAGAGCAGAAGCAAATGAAACTGCTCAAATAGGCAGCTCCTGGTATAGGACTGGGCAAACCTCCATCCATTAAAGTTTTTCTGTGCCACTTTCAAGCATTTACCTATTGTCTGTGGCTGACACTACAACACATGACAAGGGAAGAAGTGACTAGTTGCAACAGAGATCATCTGGCCTGCAAAGCCTGAAAGATGAAGTACCTAAAGCTTTTCAAAAAATGTGCTGAGGCTGCCTTTAGAATCTCAATGCAATTGGGGACAGAAGAAGACTCAGGGACGAACAGATGTGGAGACAGAAGGAGCAGGTGGTGAGAGAGGGGTCTGTGATACTGGGCATCAGGGGAGGTGGCACTCCAGCGGGGACAGGGTGGGGATGGCACTGTTAGGAAGCAATCTGTGATAGACACCTCCACGTGTGCTGAGGACTTTGTGAGTTTGGCAGAAGATAGACAGACCTGGGATGAATTTCATATCCCTGGTTTGCTGGCTGCATGCAGAAGAGCTGATTTCTTTGTAGCTCTGAGCTTCAGCTTCGGCTTTAAAAGAAACACTATGTATACCACAAGGTTTCCAATGAAATGAGCCAAGGAAAGTGAGTCTCTAAGAGCTTTCCTGTGTGGTATGTGAGAGCCTGAGCTCCCACATCTCCAGGAAACTTCTCATGTGTCCAAGTTCAAGGCCGGTCCTCTACCTCTCGCATATTCTGGGGCAGCTGTGGGCCCATTTCCCCATCTCTGGAAGAAGGATACCCATTCCCAGCCAAGGATTAAGTGGCATATATAGGAAAAGCAGCCAGGATAGCTCCTGGCCCCATGAGTTTCCCTTTGTTCTTACTACGAAATCGTCAAGCACAGACCCCAGTCCATGGCAGGCGCTCAGACACTGTGGTTTCCTCCCATACATCTTCTCTACGTGGTCAGGAGAATCCGTGAATCCACATGCTTGTCCTGCTACCAAATGGCTGTGATTTGGGGGCAGGGCTCATGACTTCTCTTAGATTGCTGAAATGTTGCTTGTTAAAATGAAGGAGTTGATTTAGATTCAGTGATTCCAAACTCTGTGAGTGGTTAAAAAAAAAAAAAAAAAAGAATCTCTCCAAAACATAAGACACCAAATATTCCACAGCCCCTCCCTCAGGGATTCTGGTTCCGGGAACTGGAATGAGGTTCAGGTTGGAATTTATCATTTTAAACAAGCACCTTGGATGATTCTTGCTCTCAAACAGGTTTGGAAAACACTAGGCTCGGCAAACTCTGATGTCTCTTAGAACTGCACAAATCCTACAGGCTCCAGTCCCAGAACCTATGGCAAGTGTGTTTGTGTGTGTGTTGAGAAAGAAAGACAAGAGGCCTGTCTCTGAGCTGATGTAACTGTCAATCAATCAGCCATTCCATTTCAGAAAGAGGTGAAACTGTCAGCGGGACACTGCAAGATCATTTAGAAGCCCAGACAGCCTTTGTGCAGGGTGACCTGCTTGCCTTTCTTTTATGATCCACCTTTTCTTTTCTTCAGAAAGCCCTGTACCTCCTAAAAGATCGCAGAACAGGCCTGCAGCTGGAGTATCTGCTTGGCCATTCTCAAAGGCTGCACTTTGCTGAACCTCTGGACAACTCTCCATTTTTCCAGGCTTTATTATTAGAAAGGCAAACACAAATGTCCAGAGAGGTACACAAGCACACACTCAAGGCCCTTGGAGTGTCCATCCCCATCTTCCTGGGCCCAGGAGGCTCTGAGGGTGGAGCTCAAAGGGACAGGGGCTACCCACCAGAGGCAAGATGCCAGTGGAGGTGGAGAGACAAGAAGACTTTAGAATCAGAAGACCTCTGCGAAGCCTGAGTCGGAGCCCCAGGTCTTCCATTACAGACTGCAGGCCTCGGGGCAAGTCACTTCACAAGCCCAAGTCTCCAATTTGTCATCTACAAATATCTACCCAGAGGTTCCACAGAGCCCTTCCGAGAATTCAATGAGATCATGGTGAGCCTGTTCTGTAAATAGCAAAACTGCCTCAGTGTCACCTACGTCACCAGTTTCTAGTTCTTTTGAAAGCTGCACCTGCATGCCACCAAGTTTCTAGTGACTAAACCTAGTTCTTCTCAAACCCTTTTCTCAGACTGTGAAGACGCAAATACTAAAACATCTGGAGAGTCTTAAAAGTTATTCTCCCTTCCTGCCTATTTTCAACCTTGTTAGCAAAGACACTGAAATCCCCAGGGCCCAAGTGCACAGCCTTGGGGTTCATTGGGACCAGAAAGGCCCGGAGCATAAGAGTGAAGAATACCCTGGACAGTTAGGGGTAACAGAGATGGGATGGACACTCTAGGAGTGTTGACTGTGTGCTCACGTACCTCTGTGTTCTTTCTATGTTTGCCTTTGTCACTGCAAATTTGCATTCTGCATACAAACACATTTTCTGGGTTTACATGGGCACCTACAGAACTTATTCTCCAGAAGTCAACACTGACGATAAACTTGCTGATCCCTTGAATTGAAGCCCAAGCACTAAAAATGCAAAGCTGTGGTTTCCATTCCGCCTGTTCCCAGCTCCTGACTCTTAGGCCACAAGCAAGGGCTGCAGGTCTGTGGGCATCTGGGGAAGAGCCTGTGAGCTGGCTTCATGGTGGTGGACACTCTCAACTTCTGCGTGTTTCCCAGGCTCCTCTCCCTCCCCCTCTGCTTCCCCAGGTTTTCCTGCATGCATCTTTCAGTAAATCCTTAGATTAAATCTGGACGGACATCAGAGGTAAAGGGCCAAAAGATTTTCAGAGCTAAAAAGATCATAGAGATGCATACTCTTCCCTCCCTGTGGCAGAGAACCCAGTTAAGCCCAGCTCTGATTCCCGACTGTCAGAATCGGTGAGATAATAAACACATATAGTTTAAAGGTGCTAAATTTGGGCTCAGGGTATGGCTCAGTGGTAGAGCACTTGCCTAGCATGCACAAGGCCCTGGATGCAAAGACCCAACAGCATAAAAAAATATTAATTAACTAATTAATTAATTAAGGTGCTAAATTTGTGCTAATTTAGTATGTGGCCACAGGAAATGAATACACCCACTCCTGTTGGGCAAAGGGAGGTGAGCCCTTTCTGCTGTGAGCTCACCTGTGTGGCAGAGGTGCACCAAACTTAGCTCAAGTCTCCTGTGCCAGTCTTCCTTGTGAGTCTCTCCTGCACATCATCTCCAAATTGGCTTTTCTGTTATTCCCTGTACCAATATTATCTCTGCTTAGAAAATCCGCTCCTTTTCTCGAGCTGTGACACCTCACTGAAATGACACCACATTCACGAAGCCATCAGAGACTTGACCCCTCCACTGGGATTTCGTGGCTCACTCTGATCCCCTCCAACTTGCACCGATTGGTGCCCCCTCTCATCTTGAGCATCATTTTATACCCAGGACCTATTAAGTCATAAGGATGCAATAAATGTGTGTTGAATGTAGGCATCCTTCAGCCTAACACACCTCCTCCCAGGAACACCACAGCCAGTCGGGGAGCTGTGCTGAAGACAAATCTCACTATGACCGTGGGCACTTTAAGAGTTGGTATGATGTCTCCATAAGCAGAGAGAAGTATCTTCAAAGGAGAGCTGGACTGGGTGAACAAAAAGCCCTTTTGTTGTGCTCAGAGCCAGAATGGTTTTAGATATGCAAGATAACCTGCCCCAGGACAAAGGAGGGAGGGGGAGGAAGCAGAACAGAGGAGAGATTGAGGTGGTGGGAGCTGGGGACCACAGAAAGGACACAGGCCACGAGAAATCCCCAGCAGAAGGGAGGTCAAGGACCAAGAGGATCTAACGTTCAATTTGAAATTGTTGGCATTGCTGCTGGGGCTGCCAGATTTAGAGAGGAGAGAGAGAGAGAGAGAGAGAGAGAGAGAGAGAGAGAGAAAATGAAAATAACTATTCATTGTTTATTTGAAACTCCAATTTAACTGAGTATCCTGGATATTACCTGGAAACCCTAATTGCTGTGACATAAACCGACTCTCCCATAAATTTCCAGTCAAGTCTACAATGAATGTCATCCCTTATATAAGTTAAGGTGGAATTATGGAAAGGGCTGAAATGGAGCTGTGGGCCCACAGGGCACAGCACAGGTACCGCCCAAGGGGCTCAGGGTGATCCCTAAATGAATAAATTCCACAGAATCAGGAGTTTAAATACAGGGATATAACCACAAATGGGAAAATGTTAGGAAGGGCTTGGAACTTTCCAAAAGCAGAGAGCAAGGGCTTGAAGCAACCTAATCTAGGCAATCTTATCAAGAACTCCTGGGAGAGCCGGCCAGCAGGTACTTGGGCTCTATTTGGAGTACCTGTAGAACTCTGAATCCACTCTAGAGGGAAGACTGAAGGCGTGCTCCTCCCACCCTCCCCCCACCTGGACTAGCGGAGTTTGGGGTGAAGGTCCCCCATAGGCTGAGGGAGGTGCAGAGGGGTGGTGGGGCACTAAGCATGTCTTCCTGGGAGAGAGGCCGGGTTTCTCACCAGATCCATCAGAAAGCCTGAGAGCGTATTGGGGGAGGCTCCTCTGCACTCGGATATAAGCCAGGTCTCTGTGGGGCAGCTCTGGCTGTGCTGCCCTCGCAGGGCACAGCTGGGCCTGGCTGGCTGCCATTAGAACAGGGATTGCTGGCTCACAGAGCAGCTCCCCTCACCCCCCAACACTGCTGGCTTCGAGGCCTCGCAGTTTCTGTGGGGCCAAATCCTTCTGGAAACCAGCCTGTATGGCCCCCATACTGACCCCATCGCCTATGGGTGGCAGGTGACTAGCCACCCTGGTACAGGGTCCCAGCAAAGTACTGAGTATACCCTCTGGGAGGCTACGTGTCCCCGCCCAGGGCCCTTCAAGGCCCAGTGTGCGTAGGAAGAGAGACGGAGTCCCTCTCCACCTTTGTGCTAGGCAGGGTCCACAACTGGGCCAGATAAAGGAGTCTGGAACCAGCTGCCACCATGATAGCGTGGATTCCCCCACTGAGCCACGTGCTGACCGGGCTGAGGTGCCTGTTCTAGACTCTGGGAGTCTCTGGCTCGAGACCTCTGGCCTCTCCTCAGACCTGCTGACTTCTAGGGCTGCTGACGTGAGGGTCCTTCAATGTGCAGGCTGCTTGTTCCCTACCAGAGTGAGCTGGATACAGTGAGGACCTGTCCTACGACTGCCCAGAGCCATGCTCAGCAAGCCAAGGCCAGGGAACAGAACAGACAGGCCAGTGCTCAGTTAGGCTGCCCCTTGGCCTAGGAGCCAGGGTTGAGGCTGGACAGCCAGCACCAGCCCTGCCACTTACCCCTCAGAGCACAAGCTCCCACTCTAGGGAAACTCTCCCACTGTGTGCCTCGGAGGCTAAATTCAAAGTCACGGACACGATGGATTATGTAACCAAAGGCAACCGTCCCTCTGGGCCTCACTCCAGCACTGCATTTCTGGGAATAGCTAAGACCATTCACTGAGTTATGACTCCATCCCTGACCTTGTGCTAAACACTTTACGTACGTGTCTGAGTCAACCCCAGTCAAGCAGATCTAGGTTTTACGTAGCATTTTCCCATTTCCCCCATTTTATTGGTGTGTCAGTTAACACCTGGCAAGGTCAGGTGACCACCATGTCACCCCGTCATTACAGATGAACCAGGTCTGAATGCCTGTTCAACCCAATCTGAATGCCTGTTCAACCTGATCAACAGCAATCCCACTGCTGCATACTCAGAAGAAGCCCCCTCGTGGTTGTCATCCATGCACCCCAGTGTCCTCCCCACACCCCCACTCCTTCCCTTGCTAGCCTTTCCAGTTCTCTGCTCTTCCCTGTCCTTATCGATCTCCCCAAACTTCCTTTTCCAGGGCTCTGGGGCTCCCACGTAGAATAAGTACTTCCGACACCGGCTCTTCCGTGAGCACACAAGGAACCTGACTTGGAGGAACCTCAAATCAGTTCTCAAAACTCCCAGGACCTTCTCTCTGTGGGTGGCATTCCTGGCCACAGTCCAGTATTTGGTGATCCTAGTGATCTCTCTGCATTGCCAAAAAATAGATAGCATTTTGCTGTGTGATCAGTATGCCTTGAACAAATTCTTCATCTCCTCTCTGTTTCCTCATCTATAAAATAGTGATGATACTTGTTCCTACCTCCCGTGTAAAGCACTTAAGACAATGCCAAACCCATGCGTGTGAGCTTTTTTTAAAGATTTTTTTTAACCTTTGTTTTATTTATTTATTTATTATATGTGGTGCTGAGGATCGAACCCAGTGCCTCGCACATGCTAGGCCAGCACTCTGCCACTGAGCCATAATCCCAGCACCCCCCCATGGGAGGATTTTAGTCATGGTAGCACTAACATTTTATTACTCTCACAAAGGCAGGAAAGTATGCAATGGGTTTTAGCAAGAATTCCATCATGGGCTAGGGTTGTGGCTCAGCGGTAGAGCGCTTGCCTAGCATGTGCAATGCCCTGGGTTCAATCCTCAGCACCACATAAAAATAAATAAATAAAATATAGGTATTGTGTCCAACTACAACTAAAAACTAAATTTAAAAAAAAAAAGAATTCCATCATGAAAGTAAATAGGGTGCGAAGGGCTGGTCTTTGGTTACTTGAGAAACAAGCTGGCCCAGCAACGCCACCCCTGAGAGGCAGCACAGCACCAGAAGGTAGTGGAGATAAGAGGCAATGTGTCCTCCTATGAGCTGGTCTTTTTTAAACTGCCCAATTAGATGCACTCTTTAGCAAGACTTCTGCTTCCAGGGCTTCAGAAAGATTGAATCACAAACAGATGAAGCATTTTAATAAGAAAAACAGCATTGACATTATGGTCACTTCTCCAATGGTTATATTCCTTCCTATTCCGTATCCTCTTGTTCCACTTTATAAAGACAGAGAGACTGGCCTCTGGCCATCTGGGAAATCAAACCCATCCTCCACTGAAGATTCACTGGGTCCCACCAATGGAAGGCCCCCAGGTGGGGGAGGGTGGCCCGATGACAGAGCGATTCCCAAGAGACCTTGCCTCAGCGTCCTGGCTGGAGAGTTTCCAGGGTTCCTTCCGAGAAGGAAGGAGGAAGAGGAGAAGTGCTGTGTTTCAGAGAGCTGGGTATCTGAGGAGGCCAGGGCCTCTGGAGAGTGCAGGGTGGAGCACCCAGGGAGAAGAGCGCTCCAAAGAGGGGGCCCCAGAGCTTTGCAGGGGACCTTCTGCAGAGGACAAACCCAAGCCAATATGTAGGGTGGAGGGAAAACTAAACAAAAATAACAACATCTTAAAAGTTTTGAGAAAACAAATCCATGTGCTGCACAGAAAAGGAGTTGTTCCTATTCGCCCTGGCCAGAACTACAACCCTACCATTCATGGGGCGTCAGGTAGAGAACTCAAAAGGATCTTGCCTCAATAGTGGGGAGAGGAAACACTGTTCTGGTCACATCCAATAAAACTTAGAAGTCCCAAAGGATCACACTGTTTGCATGTAACTATATCCTAAACCAAGTTCAAGAATATTGATAGAAATATAAAACATCTAGCATACAGTAAGGTCAGATTTACCCAATGTGGAATTGAATCAAAAAATCATCAGGTATATAGAGAAAGGGCAGGAAGACACATCTCACAATCAGGAGAAAACAGACCAACTTCAACAGATCTAGAACTGACTCAGAGGATGGAACTAGTAAAAAAGGATGTTAAAAGTATTGTAGCCAAGCACAGTGGCATGACAGGCTTGGGAGGCTGAGATAGGAGGATTGTGAGTTCAAAGCCAGCCTCAACAAAAGCAAGGCGCTAAGCAACTCAGTGAGACTCTGACTGGAATAAAATACAAAATAGGGCTGGTGATGTAGCTCAGTGGTCAAGTGCCCCTGAGTTCAATGCCCAGTACCCCTCCCCCAAATGTTGTTATACTGTTAAAATGGCTAAAATCCAAAACACTGACAATACCTAATGGCAGTGAGATGTAGAGCCAGGGCTCTCATTTATGGCAGGTGGGAATGCAAGAGGGCGCAGCCACATTAGGAGACAGTGTGCAGTTTCTTATGCTTCTAAACATATTCTTATCACACGATCTAGCAATCTCACCCCTGGATTTCCCCAAATGTGTAAAAGGCTTGTGACCACACACAGACTTCCATATGGATGTTTACGGTAGTTTTGTTCATGATCATTAAAACTTGGAAGCAACTAAGGTGACCTTCAGTAGGTGAGTGGACCAACTGTGATAATCCAGGCAGTGGAATATTATTTAGCGCTAAAAAGAAAGGAGCTGTCAAGTCACAGAAAGACATGGAGGAATCTTCAATGCACATTAGTAAGAGGAAGAAGCCAGTTTGAAAAGGCAATAGACTGCCTTTACCTTCATCCCAAGAAGATAACAGAAAAGGATAAAAAAGGGAAATATCCATCATAACAGTAAGAATGGAAGAAGAAAGGTCAGCTGGTGAGAGTGAGCCACGCTTTGGGAAGTTGAAGAGCAGTGAAGTAAGGGGTGACTGACTTAGCAGACACGAGAAGACTGAAATCGAAGCCAGGAAGGGGAACTAGAAGCAGAAGAACCTGGGGGCCTCAGACAAGTCTAGGACTCAGAAGTACCAGGCATCTCTGAAAGTCAGAATGTGGGGTAGAGGGGAAACCAGAGGATTTGGAAAAAGTCCTCCTAAAGAGCAGCTACCCCCCCCCCCCGCCCCTTCCCAAGCCTGCACTGTCTGCCCACTGCTTGTGCCCACCCAAGTGGCAGACGGGAGTTTTGTTCTCTGCAGAGCTGAGCTGTAAATGTTCTGGATCCAAAGATACCGACAGCAGCAAAGGGGAAGGTTGGCATTTTTCATTCTAAAAGTGAGATTAAATGAAAGTCCATACACTTTACTGTGAGGCAGTCACAGGCCTCCAGATCTGCAAGTGGCTGAAAGATTGGAAACACTGACAGGTCAAGAGAAAATACCTACCTACGTCCACACCTGGGGGTCTTCTCAGGAAGCACAGCTGAGTACAGAGAAGGCTGGACCACGGTAAGCCTCGTGAACTGACCGAGGCATGTAATTAATGTTTAAGTGACTCCTTCCAGAATAAACTCAAAGATCCCCTGCCTTCTGAAGAAAGTGTTAAAAGGACAAAAGTGGTAAAATACAGAAACAGAGAAGAGATGTTTGAAAAAGAGAGAATACAGGAGAGTAAGAAAATGCCAGCAAAACTTAACAAATAATATTTTTAGAGCGACGGTGGATGGTATTGCCATCTGTGAAACAGGAATAGGAAATTAAAACAGAGAGTAGTAAAAAGAATTTTTGAAAATTAAAAAATGGGTCCCCAAAGTGAAAATTTCACCTGAAAGTTTAGCAGGTATTACACTTATAAAGTTATTTTTTAAAAAAAAAGACATTGAAATGAAAGAGAGAGAGAGATCTTCAAGGATGAGTCAAAGCCCAACATCTGAACAGCCAAAATTCAGAAAGAAAAAAGAAGGAAAACATTTTTAAAGAAATAATAAAAGAAAAATTTCCCATAACTGAAGGATCTGATTTTCAGATTAAAACCGGACTTGGAGTGCCTGACCCAGTGAACACAGACAGACAAATGAACACACAGACTTACACACACACACACACACACAGAGAGAGAGAGAGAGAGAGACCAGGGCGCATTATAATGGCATCAAGAACATTGAAAGTAAAAAGAAGACCTCTAAGTCTTTTTTTAAGTGTAGGAGATGGGAAGAGAGGTGGCACAGAAAGGGCAGAGTCAGTGTAGCTTTCCAGCAATTCTGGAAGCTAAAAGCAATGAAGAAATCCCTGGACAATCCAAAGGAAATAACTTCCAGCCTAGAATTCTTTGCCCAGCCAGATTCAAGCCGATGCGAGGGTGGAATCAAGATATTTCAGGCATGCATGGAGGTTGACAGGGCGTGGGGAGGTGGATGATATTCACCTGGGAGCTAACCTGACAAGATCACCTGCATACGGCTGCTACCCAGGAGACAGGACAGAAACTGTAACCAACCAAGTACTGCCCCCTCAGGGGAATTTGGTTGCCATAATTTGGAGATGCTACCACCATGTAATCCCCAAGGGCCAGGATGATAAATGTTCTATAATTCGTGGGATAGTTTCTCAACAAGAAGTCATCATCCCCATAATCCCCAAAGCCCATCCTCGAGAGATAAGCCCACGGGCTTATGAAGCTTGTAGTAGGGCTGAGAAGGCGCAGGGTGCTTTGGGAGTAGGGTGGGTGAGGTGCAGAAGAAATGAAAGAATATTCCAGGTAATAAAACACAGTGACTGATAAGTAAACTGATCAATCCCATGCATCCACAAATTCAAAGAACAAATTATCTTCAGTAATGCACACATTTTTAAAGGGCTCTATATAATTGCTCTGTGCCCAAGTTCCAGTCTACTTGCTCTTGCTCCCAGAACGTGGACTGAACCACTGATGCAGCCTCCTCCCCTCAGGTCTCCCTGCTTCCAGGCTCACCTCTGTCCCTTCTTCCAACACATGACCCAGCAAATGTTCCAAAACCTAACCCTGAGTGTGCCACCTCGATGCTCAAAAGCTTTCAATGGACTCCCATCACCCCCCCATTCTCTGGAGTTGCACAAATCAGACTCATCCTGCCAGGTGCAGCTCCAAGGCCCTGCTTTTGAGGATTTCCCCAGTCACCCCCTTCCAGTGAGACCCTAATAGCAGAGTCCTCCACTACGGTACTCGCCCATAGCACGACCCTGGTCTATTTTTGCATTGTACTTCCCAGCACTCCATGGGCACTTTACAGGCAGGGACTGCTTCTCATCCCTCTCTGACTCTCCAGTGCCCACCATATGGGAAGCACCCCTCATGCCATTCTGAATAGCATTGGCCCGTATCTCCCTCATGAGCACGCTGACCTCAGATTCACTCCTGTCACCGACATGAGCAAAGGTCCCACATCCTTTCAAGCATCCTGTGGTGTAAAACTGAGTCCTTCACAGTTTTTCTGAGTCACAAAGGCCACTATGGCATTAGGCTGGACAGGGTGCTGTGGGAAAGGTCCCTACCAATGGGCGGATCCAACAGCTACAATCTTCAGATAAGGAAACTGAGGCCTAACGGAAGCCAGCACCTTGTCTGAAACTATAAGACCACACAGGCCAGAATAGGACGCTGTCTCAGCTCACTTTCTGTTGCTATAAGATAATACCGGAGA